ATATATTTTACTTATTTCAGTTCGCAGACGCCTCGTGCTGTCTGGGACTCGGTTAATCTCCCACCAAGGACGGCCGCGACATCTGGCGCGCACGTTTGCCGAGTGTGTGTGTGTGTGTGTGTGTGTGTGTGTGTGTGTGTGTGTGTGTGTGTGTGTGTGCGCGCATTACAGGGATTTGTAGGGTGAGCCCCACGCGCGCAGTCAGTCAGTCAGTCAGTCGACATTTTCCTGACGACGTTATGCTGTCAAAGGAGAGTGTCTGCACTGTACAAAATAACGTCACCAAAACTACCAAATGATGCCAAATACTATGAAAAAAATTACTTTGTTTTGAATGATAATTTGACAGAAAAAAATACTGCTTCAGGTTCAAAGACCATAAAATGATGTGAAATACCGCATAAACTAGTTAGTATACTAAAATTGTGCATAAATAATACGTTGTGAATTATTTTTAGACACCATGCAAAACGCGAAACAAAAATCTACAAACCTTGACAAGATGCAGTACAATTAGTTGAGAATGTTTTTTTTTTTTTTTGACAATGTAAACACTTTTTTTTTAAATTACAAAACTATGTGGTACTAAAGTAGTTTGTCCTTTAAAACCACAAAACAATGACAAAATACTACCAACTACTTCACAGAAACTAGTCTGATTTTGGACAAGAAGCGGGACACGCCCTGGACTGGTTGCGAGCCAATCACAGTTTGACCAACAACCACGCACAGACAATTTAGACAATTACAGCAATTTCAATTGTACGGAACAAGGAATTAATTTGCCGGCACAGGGTCGAACGGTGGCAGTCACTGATAAGGTCCAGCAGTCGGAGCCACCGCGAAAAAAGCTCGCAGTGTTGCATTCCTCACTTTGTAATGCGCTTGGACACCAACTACAGGACTGGGGTGGAACTGCATCACCCTTGCCATTTATGATTTGCGCCAGATGCGTTGCAGATCGTTTGGGCTAATTTCCCCCGTGGGTGGGATTCACGTGGCGCCATCCCGCCTCTTTTGGAAACAAGACCGACACCTGAGAGTCTTGCCCAGGCAGTGTTGCCGTGGTGACTGCTGTCACTCAACCTCTGTGTTTCCGAGGAGTGTCTCACACACACACATTTAGAACACCGTTACACGGCCCATACGCGCTGAGTCATTACCACCTGTGAGAGTGTGTAGGGGGGTGGGGGGAAAAAAAAAACAGGAGCACTGCAAATAGAAGCAGCCGGGACGGCGCTGAAAATAAACCTGTACAATTCCAAAGCAGAGGACAACAAAGCGGCACAGCAGCAGGCATTCAGTTCACTGGAACGCCTCGTCACTCATGTATAGACACCATGGCGGCCTGCGATGGGACTGGGTGGGTTCGATAGTGACGTTGAATGCCGAAAACCATGAGGTGCATAAGACTTCACTGAAACTGTTTTCGGTGAATGCAGCAGAAACTAGTTCCCGTGTATTTATTGACGACGAGAGTACCTGCTCCCGTTCAGAACGCATTGAACGGCGCTTCACAGTGCTGATGGACGATGACCCCAAGCGTACTGCGAAAGCAACTCAGGCGAAGGAGTGGAACGCTATGCAAATGAGGGAGTCGATCACCCGACTTAAATCCAACTGAGCATGCGTTTCACTTGCTGAAGACAAAACTGAAGGGAAAATGCCCCGAGAATGTCGAGAATCACCAGGGATGAAATCCAATGTCTGGTGAAGTTTATGCGTTCCAGACTTCAGGCTTCAGTTAACGGCATGAAATGATTTACAAATAAATATTTAAATGTGAAAGTTTGATTCATGAGTGTCTAAATATTCGGGGAGGCATATAACTCAAATGACATTTCACCGCTGCTATTCTTCTAGCTCTTCATCAAACCAAACCTCAATCCTGCAATTTCACGCGATTCTGGACCCAACCCAGATGAAATCAGATTTTAGAAATTAAGTTTTATGATCCTGTTCTTAATCATCAAAAGCAATCCTGTCAGATTTTACCAGACACCTGACATAGCCTCGTTCAGTCAACAATAAAACGGACAATTTGTTTATTTCAGCACTCAAACCATGTTTAAAAAAAAAAAAAGTTATATGGCTGTTGTGATTATGATTCACCACGTGGCTCTATAAAAGCACATATTAAACCAAGAACAAAAACGGATGACCCACATGATAATCTCATCCCATCATCATCATCATCATCATCATCAAATGCTGCTGGTGCGTGAACGCTGGCCCGATTTCATCACCACGGCAACCACCGCGGGACAAGGGGGCGTTCCTGTTCATGGCGTGGAATAAACACACAGTATTTAAAAAAAAAAAAACAGGAGTCCGTTTAATCCGCGTGGGAGTCGTTTTCATGAGAAAACAGTGTTCGGATGACAACTTTTCGTGCTGTAACACGACACATACGCTTACCCTCCCCACGGAACAGGTGACGGTGCAACGGGTATTTATTTATATCCCCGCGCCCCCCCCCCGCGACGGCTCGTGTTGTGTCCACTCACCTCGATCCATTTCTGCGCCTCCAGGCAGGCGGGCTCCGGGCGGCTCGCCTCCGCCGACTCCAGCCGGACGTCGCGATCCGCAGGCGGGCTGGCCATCGCCGGGTAGGCCGATCCGTGCGTGGGACTCCCGGTGGTGGACACTCGCGTAGTGTTGTGATGTGGGCGCTCCCAGCAATGTTATCTTGCACCACGCGGGGACGGTCCTTGGAAATCGGCAGCCTCCCGCGACGACCCTCCACGATGCCACCCGAAAAAGAGAATGCTTGTCCTACGCAGGGGACGGGCGCGCGCGCGGCGTTGGTGGTGGTGGACGCTGTCCTCCGCCAATAGCGGTGCGGGCGCGCGCACGTGGAGGCGGAGACGCGTACGCAGGAATCTGCCCTGTGCAAGGGGGCGTACCAATGCGTTATTTCACATTTGTGTCACTTTGACGGTCCATGACTTTGGCTAAATGAAAGAAAACTTAAATTACGTATATGGTAAAGTAATAATTTACTAAATACCTGACCAAGATGGCCGCGGTCAAACAGCCTCGGCTGACATTGCCGGAGCCCGACTGAAAAATGAAAAAAATGGAGTGGACCCCCTCTATTCGTGCCGGACGTGGACCGAGCCAGCCCGCGAATAGTGGAAATTCGAGTAGAATTTAAATCGATCATAAAACAGCCTGACAAAAAAATTCTCCTAAAAATTCTTGGAAGGGAAATAAAACGAGTTGACTGTTAAATTTTGTACAGGCCGGTTTCATGAGTTTATAGTTTTGAAATACTCATGTAGACTAAAGTTCAAAAGAAATGTCTGATTTTTACTGATTCATATTCATGTAATTTTTTTAACATGATTATATTTCTTTGACCAGACAGGTGATAACAAATTTCAAGTGTGGATGGAACACTACCTGTGCCTTTTTTATTATTATTTTTTTTTAAACAGTTATGAAAACAGCTCATAAAAAGAAAAAGTCAGTGATGGCCTTCGACTGTATCACATATTTTCAAGACCTCTGAACAGCACATTTAAGGATTAGGTGTCATTTTATGGATAATCAAATCCTTCAATTCCAAAGAAATGATGGCTCGCAGATATCTCGCTACATGCAATTCCAACACCAATGTGCATTTCATTTCCCCTTCTTGTAATCACTTGCACCACCATCACAAATCAAAAGCACTTTATTTGTGTCAGTAACAGCCACACCATCAGTGCAATAAACACCGCATCACACCTAACTGTGCAAAGTAAAGCAAATCAACTACATTGCACTCTTCAAATGCGGTCCACTATGTGAACAAATGCATTTTTAAAGCTACATTGAGGCTGTGAGGAGCGTCACATCAACCAATTAGCAGCGAGAGGCATCTAAACGGTCCCAAAAGTTTTTTTTTTCCTTTCACACAGCGCCCATTTGCGTTCTCAATGGTCCGCAAAGCATTCAAAGCGTAACAAATACGTACAAAGACAAGTGCTTGTTCAAAAAAAAAAAAAGCGGCAGCGGAATCTGTTTGTTCACATCTGAGGAGGAGACAATTGCAAACGCTTTCTGCTCTCGTCTAGAAACAGTTGTGCTAAAAGTTTGCGATATGAAGTGTATAACCTACAGAATACGTGTGTGCTGAGTGAACACAATACTTGCTTGACAGTGCCCCAAAAATGCTGATAAATGTGTTTGTGGTTGACATTTAGTCCTGGGAGAGAATTTAACCACGACACAGAGCCACAGCGGAGAAGCGAACTTCGCCTAGTCCTCGCTCCACAAAGCCTCGGCACACTTTGGCAGCATCCTGGACGTGAATTGGCGGGAGGGGGAAAAACAAAAAGTTTCATGCTATGAGGCATTCAAGTACAGTGGCACCTTGATTTGTAGTTTTGAGAAACGAGAAATTGGTCATTTACATTTTTTTTTTTTTTGGTATTGAGTTACCAGGGCTCGATGGTAGTATCTTTTCACATGCAAAAGATCTTCAGAAAAAGAGTGCTTCCTTTAAGTTATTCATTTCAACTGGGAGGGGCAACCAATGAAACATCTAACAAGGTGTATGAAACCAAACCACATAACTTACCCAAGTTTGCTTGCAAATTACGGAACCACTTTGAGTTGCACTTTTATGTACAAATGGTGCTGTAAAAATAAAGCTTGATCGATTGATATCCTCCAGTATGCTTTGATTAACTAAAATACTGTTGAGCCTCATCTGTTTTGGGACTTTGCTGGGGAGGTTCCGTTCCAAATGGAGTGTCATTTGGAAAGAAATCTAATTTCCGTACCGTTACAAGGGTCTCATCTTTGGTGGCGCCGTGGTTCAGGGGGCCGTTCATCTTCCCGTCTTGAGAGCAAAAAGAGAGAGACGAGACTTTAGGAACAAACCAAAGTGTGGCATTTCCTCAAAAGTGGCCTGCTTTGTCTCGAATTTCTTTCATGAACAGCTCTACAGGTGTCGCGTCTCCCCCGTGTAAGCAGTGCGGATGGCAATCAAGACATCTACGGCCAGCAGAGGGCGCCATTTGAGGACATGCAGAAAATAAAGTCAGATTTTCCTCACCAAATTCAAGAAGCTGTCCGTTCACATTGACAAAGGCAATGAAGTGGAAGTTGACCTTATCGGCTTCGGGCTGCCGGATTTAAAATGACATCATTTCATTCATTTATTCGTCAATATTTCTATAAGTGAAAAAAAAATTTCTGCGTGCAAGTCAACTTACCCTACACTGTCCCTGAGCAGCAACCTCATTGTGAGCATCATGGATAGCCTGGACAAAGGATCTTACTATTAAAATAAACAACTTGCAATGGCACAAATTAAGGGTAATAGTTGAACAATGTTGGACCCCAGAACAATCTGGACACAAGATTTAGCAGCGTGGTGGTCTGTGGGTCCCCCAAGTGGACATTAAATGCATGTACATGTGGAAACATGAACAGACTTGAACGTTTCACACCAAGTGCTACAGCACTGCACTGAAAAGAAAAAAAAAGGAAAAAAAGCATTTTTTTTTTTTTTTAGGTCTCGTAGTACCACCATGACGACCAACATTGAAATCTAGTGAGTAAGAGGCTCAAGTTAATCAAAAACGAGATTTTTCTTTCCTGCTAAAAGGCACATTTGAAGTGAATGTAAGCGACCCTTTTGAACAGCAACACTATACTGTACTTAAATGTGCTGTTTGGATCGCTTCATTCTAATACGGTCCTCACCTTGTTCTTGTCCAGATGTTTGGCACGGTCATCAGCAGACATCTTGGCAGTTTCATCCAGAAATTTCTTCAGCACGGAAGCACTCTCTGAGAGCAAAAAGACCAGATTTTTTTCCTTTAAGCCGTTTTTACTCAAAGTGGTTGCCCATTTCCCCAAGGCAACTGAGACACGAACGTGGTCAACAGTTCTTGTTTGTGTGTGTGTGTGTGTGTTTCAAATAAATCAAGACTATTACCAAAGGTAAGTTTGCTTTGGTTGTTTCCCAGCGCGTGCAACAGGGCGATGGTGCCACAGGAATTGGTGGCGGTCTGCTTCAGAAAGTAAGCATCCGAGCCCCGCATCACTTTGTCTGCCTGCTTTTGTCTGAAAGAGTCATGCTGAGACACGCAACAAAATAATGAAAAAAAAATGGACAATGGCAAATTCCATGTGCAGCATAACACATTACATGCAAAACCTGGGTAATTTCTTGCAACACTCAAGATGATAGTGTAAATTTGTGGAATCATTTTTGAAAATGTGTAGTTCAATTGCACATTAAAAAAGATTGTTCTGGATAATATATGAACCATGCATAAAGAAATTATTGTGAAGTTTTCGTGTTAGCTTGAATCTGAGGACAAATTTCGTGAAACTTTTTTTTTAAATACGTTTTTCTCTGCATAATTTATCAATTACAACCTGTAAAATGACCTTTGGGTGGCGCTTTGAAGGATTAATTTAATTTAATATATATATATATATATATATATATAAATACTTGTTTGTGTTACCAGTAGTTGAATGTGTGTGTCATATTTGATACATTTATGTTGCACCATGTTTTTATTTTACCTTTTAAAAACCAACACTAACTTTACATTGTGTGTAAAATGACGACATCCAGATCGATTTCTTGCTTGTAAAAATTAAGATTTTTTTTTTAATTTGTAATGTCAAGTCCATAGAATGACTTAATCATCCAATTTCATTTTACAAACCCAACTATAAAATGTTATTATGTACAAGTCTACTGCAATGCATTCATTTATTGCTTGTGTTCGTTAAAACAAACAAATGGGAAGAGGACCTTGTAATGGCAATTATATTTTTTCGTCATGAAACCACAAATGAGCTATTTATTTTTAATTGCTAATCTCATAAAACGAGTTTGAAATGAAATGTAGGTGAATTTGGGATGCTCTTGTGGGGTTAATTTAGGGTTTAGAGGACTAACAAAACATTGGGGGAAGGCGGGGTGGGGAGATGGGGAGGGTTAATCCATTGTTGGTGTCCAGGCTTTGTCCCCGAATCCCCCTTTGGTCCCTACATCAACTGATGACTCATCACCATTGTAATCAGCATCCGCTACCTCTGCAAACTCAGCATCACCACACCCCAACAGAGGCATGCGGCCTGGATCACTGCCACACCCCAACATTTTCCCCTCCCCACCCCAAAATTTTACATTAAAAAAAATAAAAAACATTTACTTTCCATTCTACAATTCAATCTCCTCTCTAAATTACCTCTTTAGTGATTGGGAAGAGCAGCATGAGGGCACAACACGGCTTTGGGACGGCGGACAGCTGCTCGGCCTCCAAGCCGAGGACGTCCACGAAACGCCAGCCCTCGCCCACGCCGACTTTACTCATCAACTGGTGAAAATAAAGAGTGAGAATGAAGTTGAATAATCATACAGAGGCGAGAAGGGCTGCTTAGTGCGGAGATGCAAGTGGTCCAGACAGACCACACCCATCGTTAGCCGGGAAGCTAACGGTGCGACGAGGGAGGATGCTGTTGATTGTCACTTTTTACAAACGACATTTTTAACCTTTTTCAGACCATAAAAGTGTCATACTCGCGTTGTACGGTCGACGAAAGGGCCCATTGTTGGCAAATGGACATTTTGGGAGCGCTTGTATAGACTTAGTGGACGTTAAAATATCGTGACTCAGCGTCTGGGGATTTTGTTTTCTTCTTTTTTTTTTTAAAGTTTGGTTACCCACCTTGTTCAGCACCTGTAAGCAAAATAGACACACACACACACAACAACAACAAATTATTCTATGGTCGCCTTGAATGACTCAAATCAAGGTGGTCGCGGTTATTTTAATTCACCTCAGGGTTGATTTCCATCGGAGTCCACTCCATGTTTAAAATGTTTTGTCGATATTTAATTCAAGAAATACTTTTATGATTTTCCAGCGTCGACAGATTCGGTAGTATTTATAGGACACGGGGCGTACCATTCAAGAGAATTCTAGAGGGGTGCTCTCACACCAACTTGATGATTTATCGCGACCGTGGTCGTCAATGATTTATTTGATTTGCCATTTTACTTTACATATTACGGCGTTAAGATGCCGATTGACAGAAGAAAGGGGTAAATGTATGATTTTGGGTAAATGGGGCAAGTTCAGGCTGGTGAAGCGGCATTCTTTCCACAATGGTGTGACGTAGCAATCAAAACCAATCACAAAATAGCTTGGAACAGCTGCGTTGACACTTTTGAACAGTGGTCCTCAACCGTTTTTCAGTGATGTACCACCTTGTAAAAGCCACGTTCCACCTAACCAGCGCAAATCATTTTTGGTTGAGGAAAAAAAAAGAGTGGTCGGACATCATTGTCTGATTTAATAAACTTTAACTCAATTTATATCGTGGTCTCTTAACAACAACAAAAAAATTAAAAAGAATTAACTTCATTCTAAAGATCTGTGCACATAAAAAACATCAACACAAAGTGTCCTCTTTTAAGATCACAGTAAAGATCTGTTTTAAAAAAGAAATAATTAACTTAATCTTCAAGCTTTCAAGTGATTGACGGATGCTGGGCAGCGTATGACACGTTGGGTTGAACCATTGTGCACTGGAGAAGACTATTAGTTTTTAGGAGAATGTAACTGAATCGCCAACTGAATATGATTTATTTTAGGAACTTAAATGTTCCCGAGATATTCATTTTCAGCTCTTTTGCTTCCTAAACTACATTTCCCAAGGTGCCTTGCGCTCACCGGGGTGTGGCGTGTCGACTCACTCACACGCCCAGAAGAGTTTTTCCGAACGGATTTCAGTTTGTCGTCCTTCTTGTCCTCCTAGTCTTCTCTTGCTTCATCTCACCGATTTTCTCCGTGCACTCACCGGGTGTGACAGCTGCAGCTCTTCGGTAAGTCGGCGTTCATCTTCGGCCAGCTGACACTGACGTGGGGCTCGAACTTCGGAAATTGTTTGTTCAAGTCTACAATTGACACTGACACTGACGTGGGGCTCGAACTTCGGAAATTGTTCAAGTCTACAATTGACACTTTTTTTTACTCCTTTTGGCAGAACGTCTTCTCAAAGAAAAAAAAACCAACCACTCCAGTAAAAATGGTGAGTTACTTTCTTGCATTTTACGCAAAAACACATTAAATACATTTAAAAAAAAATCTAACTGTATAGTTGTACAAGGTCATCATCGTGTGTAAGGAACAAGATCCGTTATATATGCAAATCTATGAGTCATGATAGTAAAAAGAAAAAAAAAAGGATCGAGACTTTCCATAACAACGCCCACTTTTTTTTCTCCGAATTACATAACATTTGAGCTGCTTTCCCCGTCTTACTGACACACTTCGCCCTCTCTAAACATTTATTTGACGCTTTATTTACTGTGTAACTGTAATTTTAGTTGATATAACGAAGCATTCATGCGGATATATATTTATCCATCACAGACAGGACATTTTAAATGGGATCTTGCTTGTTTGTGACTAAGGCGGGGATGGCTAAACCTGTGCATGTGGCCCTGCAGGACATTTTATCCAAAACTCCGAAAATATCTTCAAATCCTGGGAATGTAGCATAAAAACGAAATTTGTTAACACGGAGCCACAATTTGCGATTGCCACCCCCACCCCCTCGGTCGAAAGGTTCATACTTAGTCCTAAAGTCACTAGTTGAAGGTTGATGAAGTGTCATAGGGGCGTCAAATAAGCTTCTTTTTTGGGGAGGGAAGTTTGGTTAGAGTGACTCATATCGGCTCTTTTTCATTTTGGGTGGGGTGTGTCTGTCTGTCTGTCAGTCGTTTTTTTTTTAAACAGCCTTTTCCAGCCAGAGTGCAAAACCCAGCCTCTATCTTAAAGGAGAAGCATCCCTTTTCCTCAAAGTCAGGGTGGAGCCGCCACATTCAAATGGAGCGGTCGCCATCTGTGGCCAGCCGAGGGGGGATTCCCTTTTACTGTATCCACGGCAACAGCATAGATACAGTAATGTCCATAAACAAAAGGAGTGGGGCTGATAAGACCAGTCGGCTGTGTGTGTACATGCAGTACGTAAGGTCAACATTCCGGCAAGAGAAGCCCATTCGCCCTCTCCTCAAAGTTGTCAAAATCACGTCTCAACCCGCCCTTTGGAGAACGTACGGACAAAAAAAAAATGTTGCCACATATTTTGCTGGCAGGATGTGAAAACTGCTGAAAATGTATCCACAGAGCTTCACTTCCGCGAGTCATCTCGTGCTGAGATGTTGGTGGAACGCCCGGGAGGCGCTACCCCAGACATTACCGACGTCTAGCGGATCAAATTTCAAAAGCGCGGTGCAGAGAACGGGCAGCACGGTGCACTAGTGGTTAACATGTCTGTCTCACACTTCCGAGGCTCATGATCCACATTCTCCCTGTTGACATGCACATATTTTTTTTCATGAACCAGGAAGTGCTGTTCAGCGGCAGGAAGTAAAGGATCCTTGGGTCCTAATTTATGGCACTGACAATAAGAAATCTTAGCCAGTGAGTTTTATTGTCTTTTTGCGACCCAATAAAAACTGGTTGTGATGGCGACCCGACAATTTGCACAAGGCCGATACCGTGAATCACTTGATTGAAAACATTCCAAATCAATGTCCAGCATTCCGTTGGAAACGATCCGCATTGTGTTCGTGTCCACATATCGCTGTTCTTTGTCCCAAGAGGCATGTTGACTTTGATTAGATTTTAACTTGTGCTGCAGCTTATTTGTGAGGATAAGCACATGAACATTTTGGAATTCCTCCTGGCCGGAGAAGCACAAAATGCTCGCTTTTGTTTTTGTCGTTGTCTTTTTTTTTTGCTGAGCTTCCACATGATTTGGCGTCAGATTTGCGGCGACATTCCTGCGGTTTTGCTCTCCAAACATCTCGCCTCCGTTGGACTGAGACGCAACACAGCCGTTGAGTCATTCTTGTGGGACAATACGAGGGAGCGTATGTTCCACTCTTGTCCCATCGGCTTCGTCTATCAACGTATTGATCAGTTTGCCTTTCCTCGGCACAGGCTCATCCACGGTTAGCCATTATCAAGTGATAAGATTGTGACTTTTTCTTCAAACAGGAGCCCTTTTGTTTCAAGTGTTGAGTGAATGGCAAACTAAAAGAATGTGAATATGAGTCACCAACTGATTACTCGACCGGGCAAGTTAGTTCATTTGAAAATCGGTCTTTTTTTTGTTTGTTTTTTGTTTTTTTAAACATTTTAACACATTTCAACTTGAGGCAAAGATAATGACATTGGAATATTGCTCATTTTTTTGTGATCCTTCTTTCTGCTGTAAAATTAAGCAAATACTAAAATAAGATAAAACGGTCAAAAGTTCTGCCTGCAATTCAAATTGCAATTGGTGTGAGCATTCAGGGACCAAAAATTAAGTTATTTTAGTAGAATTGAGATCGGCCACAAATCCATATTGGGTGGGTCCTAATAATCATGCGTACTTCATACTTCTAATTTTTTTAAAATAATTTTTGATGTCTAGCATCACATATTTTTGTTCTAATATTTTAAACACTATGTATTAGGTCACAAAATAGAAAATGTATCGCGTGAAAATAATCAAATACGGGTCATACAAATGTAACACAAAGCATAAATTATAAAAGTGTTCACATTTTCTGACATAAAATCAGGTCAAATATATTAAATATGGACGATTAGGGATTAAATTTTTTTTTTAGATCAGTCCATGCTAATAATGAAAAGAAACTGATCTCGACTAGCAAACCCAATTCACTGCACTGGTGAAAACAATCGATTTCATATATCCGGATGCTGATCCTGTTGTTGTCGCCCCAGGCCAGCCGAGGAACCGTGAAAGCAAGCGCCAACTTCAACGCCAGCGCCGACGCTGAAGTTCTGTACAAGGCCATGAAAGGCCTGGGTAAGACGCTCACGCGGAGTCTCGCCTATTCCACTGATGTCAATTGACGCCTCATTTGACCACGACCGCGCTCGCGGCAAGCGTTTGCGCAAACACGGGTGAAACCCGAGAAGCGGCTCGGCAAACACCCGCTGTAATGATGAGATAAAAGGGTCAATAAAAAGTGCGGCTGCAAGAGAGACAGGCGGGCCTTTTGTTGTTAGATCATAAAGTGCAGCCGGAAACCAATCAAGAGCAGCATTTTGGACCAACTGGAGACGCTAAATGGAGATTCGGCCTACTCCATAGTCAAGTGCATTACAGTAATCCAGCCGGGATGTAACGATATAACGATGTGTCGTAAGGGTATTTTGTTGTCGTCGCAGGAACGGACGAGGAAGCTATCTTGCAGCTGCTGACGGCGCGCAGCAATGCCCAGCGTCAGCAGATCGTCACCACCTACAAGACGCTCTTTGGAAAGGTGGGACGCCGCATTGAGAACAGCTGTCGTTTGAGTCGCGCGACATGCTTTCATCAAAATACAAGGATGATGAAGAATAATCAAAATGTTGTTTATTTTTATTTTTTTAAAATATTGCGGCATTCTTCTTGTTAAATTCCAACATTATTGTAATGATTACTTTTTTTCCAGAGGAAAAAAAGTGGGGTTTTTTTTTCATTATTTTATCGTTTTATTACCCCAAACATGAAAACAAATATTTTAAATGTGTATTAATGGAAATTATGATTTTTCTTTTCTGAAAATAAGCTTTTTTTCTTGTAATATATTTTTGCACTTCTTGAGAAAATTTTACTCTTTCCTGTTTTTTTTTACATTAAAATTATTTTATTTATAAAAGTGCAACTTTTTCCTGACAAGATTACACATTTATTGCTTTTATTTCATATTTTTTCAAAGAAAAATGACCACTCCGAGAAAAATAGCTTGTATTTTCAGTAAATTGCAACTTCACGTAATACGTGTTCTCTGAAAAAAATGTGACCTTTTTTTTTCTCGTAAAATTACTTTTTTTTTTTTTTTCTCATGGGTGCAACTTTTTCCCTCAGAAGATTAGTTTTT